CCGCCGAACCAGCGCGGTAAGTATAGACAAGTCCTAAGTATGTGAATAACAGAAAGGAAAGAGAGGGAGAAATGTCCAGAAGAAATGTAAACAAGAGAAGAGCTGAAGAGCTGGCTGTGGGATTTTTGACCCTTCATCAAAATATCCTTCTCCCACCAAAATCCATTTAGTCTCTCTCCTCTTTTGGTTGAAAAAGGAGTGATAGATCTTCCCTTGCAGTTAGCTTCTTTTTTTTTTCCTTCTCACCAGACAGCACACTGACCTTGCTCTTCTAGCCCTGCCAAAGGTGCCCCCAGACAGCAGTGGATCCCAACATCCCATGTTAAGTACAGGACTGGCCCTAGAGAAGGGGCTTTCACAAACTGGAGCTCCCATCCATTTGTAGATTTTTCTGAGTTCAAGCCAGCTCTGGAAAGAAGAAACATGAAGAAGGAAGGATGCAGAGAAGCAGCAGATGATGATAATGGGGAAGAGAGAGGAAAAATTAATCAGATAATGAAAAGAGAAGTGTGCAGTGAGGATATTGTCACATGTTGAGTTCTTCAATAGTTAAATCTGTGTCATCAGGGCAGGCACAAATGTGCTTGGCGTTGGTTTTCTTGTTGCATTACTTACTTGCTGAGGTTTTCTACAGAAAGGATGTGTTGCTGTTGGGTTATACTGACACTCTTTCTGGCTGCCTGGAATCTGTCTGGATGATTCAGAATGAAATAAAAATAATTTGTTGTTTTATGCATGCCACCTACTTTTTTTTTTTGTGCTAGAGCAACTCCAGCTTGTTTCAGGAAGTTCAGTTCATATAAATCCCGTGCCTAGATATCTCAAGTAACACAAATGTACTACTTAAGCCATATATAATGTGACAGCAGAATGCAAATGCTGATTTGGCTTTACTGATATCCAGATGAATGCAGATCTCTGTCCTTTGCAACCCCAACGTAACCCCTACTATTGAGTCATTTCAGAAGGATTTTAAACCATGTTTGTATCCCTATAATACTTCAAGAGGTTACTCTACAGTTACTGCAGTCAATTCTCTAGGCTATGTTAATTAAATCTTTTCTGTTGCTTTTAATAATTATGGTTGTGAGAAAAGAAATTTGCTTTGACTGTGCTACAGAAATCTCTCAAAGCGCTAGGTAGAAGATTGTCACGTGAAATGCATCACAACGAAAGTATTAAGTAAGTGTGTGTTTATTTTTCCCATTTTAGGGGTCCGCCTAGACAGAGTACGTGGAGGTCGCCAGAAGTACAAGCGCAGAATAGATGCAGAGAATAGCCCATACCTGAACCCTCAGCTAGTTCAGCCAGCCAAAAAGCCATGTAAGTACATTGGATGTATCCGTTTTTTCTCTGCATCCAAACGTCAATAACTCCTGGACCCATTTTAAACTTCCATTGACTTCTTTAGGACAAGCATTTGTCTCTAAAAGGCTACAGTAAGCGCCACATATTATCCAGTTAACATGAGCATTTAAAAAAAAAATCTTATTAGTTATCTTCGTCTTTTCTCAGACTGTCAGATGAAGCTTTTTACAGGTGGAAGCATATTAATGCATGGTTTATGCAGTGCACATTTTTCATTTACAGGTTATATTTATTTTCATTGGTACATAAAACGGTTCATACTGTGATCATTAGTTCATTGGAGCTTCTAGTTTCAGATTTCACAAGAAAGTGATTTTTGTAGTTTTCACTAACTAAATGAGTTTGACTGCTCAACCTCCCAATGAAAATACATTAGGAGCCTCATTAATTTATAGCTATAGAAGGTTAACACACTAGCTAACATTAGATGAAAAGAGGAATGTGCTGCACTAATAACAAGCATAGGTTGGTAGATCTGTCTCTGATGCCCTTATGGGCATTCTGGTTTTTTTTTTAAGTGTCCTTGGAAAAAAACTAAAGAGAGGAGCGAGAGAGAGATGATCATTCCTTTGCTAAAATACAAGTTCCATCCTCTTTGCAATTAACAATAAATAGTAGGAGGTTTTGCTCTGCAGCGTATACAAAGTCAAGCAGCAACTACTAATTCCATAAAGTAAATTTAATTGCATTATATATCTAGTGCAAGAGACTACGGAATTAGCCTACAAAGGTATGAATTTCCTACCAAGTACTTGTGAACTCTTCCATATTTAGATCAGAATTCCCATACAGTTGTCACTGTCAAGAAGGCTATTTTGCTATCAAAGTGGGACAATCCTTCTTTTTTTTCCCTCCCCCCCATTTAGGGAAAAATAAAAGAAGCATGGAGGTTTTGTGCCTGTGACACTATCTAGCGTGTAGAAAACAGTGTCTATTTCAGCTCATGTTCCCCAGTAGGGGACACTGCTGCGTACAATACACATGAGCATATGGGGATCTGTAGAGCAAATAAACAGTCTTTGAACTGTAAGCGAAAGGGCATTTTAGCTATGTCAAAGGAAAAACAACCAGTTTTACATAAAATTAAGGCTTAAGTGAACATATGGCATAGTTTCCTTTTGCCTTTCCAAAAAACATTATGCTGATTATACCTTCAATTGTCCAATCTGGCATCTTCTTCTCAGCCTGCATAAGCTGTTCCACCATTCTGTAAATACAATCTAGGGCTGCATTAAGCAGATTTTTCACATTATAATAAAAACTTTCTGATAATACAATAAAATTTAATAAACTCTAAGGCTTAATTTCATTAGAGGTTTAGTTTTGCTGGATGCACAGATTGCCAGTTTTTTCATTTATTTTACATTGTCATTGAGTTGAAATGTTGATAGCTTCCTAGCATACAAAAAATATTCCAGTCCTTTAATATAGGCATAGGTTAACACTATTGTGCTGAAGTATCCAAGAAACTGTGTAAACCTGAGAGTATTGGGAAGTAGTGTATTACAATACCTTTAAGAAGATAACCACCAATTTCAGTAAACTCCATTTGTGTGAGATAAACTAATCTCCTTATTAATCATTATTACCTAAAGGCTTCTTTTAATTTTCCTTAGTTCACCCAATTACAGACATTTTTGTAACGAACACTTATAAAACTTAATTTTTGGATCCTGACAGATAAGTGTCAGGAAACAGTTGAATTTGTTTTATTGAGGAAGTAGCCTGGGAGATTTTCTGGACCCTGACTGATAGTTTATGCATAACAAAGGCACAGGAATGAAAATTGGGTTCTATTGATTCTAATTAGGGAAACATTAAATAAGATTTACCTAGAAATGGTGCTCATGGCTATTCAATTTCCTCTGTGATGGGGCTTTCTGAGAACACTCAGAATTTCCCTATGCCTTGTACTAAACCATGCTTCAATACATGTAGCCTTTTTCTCTGTAGTGAAATAACAGGGATTAGGAGGTCTCTTTTAGACAGACCTCTTTCTGCCCTTTTTTGCATTTCCTTTCTTATCTACAGAATCTAGTGGCCTGCCTTCAGGTCTTGTTGTGTTGTCAGAATAATGAAAGTGGAGATTTTGTGAAGCAGAAATGAAAATGTACACTATTCTTGAATCATCTGCAAGAAGCAAACATTTGATGAAGATGCTGTTATTTAAAAAAAAAAGATTTCCAGTCTGTTCCTTGTGTGAGTCTGAAGTGAGAACAACTGAATTTGTGGACATTTACCTTAGCAATCTGGAGCTCTTGTTCACTAATATACTGTAATTTTAATTAATATACTATAATTTTAAATACATGACTTATGTCCCCATCTTTATGCATTTTAATATGAATGCTGGGTCCATTTATAAATTTTTTGAGAACAAGTAGGAAGAAAAATAGAATTTAGTTACTTTGCTTTTCACTGCATATGGTTTGTTGTTAAATTCTTGAGAAAATATGCTATAATCTTTGACTTTTGGAAAGAATTATGTTTTCTAATAAGTTAAACAATCAGTAAAACATCTGTTCATTTAAAAAAATAATAATATTATGTTGAATAACTATTTGCCACTACACCGCTACCCTGATATAACACTGTCCTCAGAAGCCAAAAAATCTTACCGTGTTATAGGTGAAACCGTGTTATATCGAACTTGCTTTGATCCGCTGGAGCATGCAGCCCCGCCCTCTCCCCCCACCCCCAGAGCGCTGCTTTACCGCGTTATATCCGAATTCGTGTTATATCGGGTCGCATTATATCGGGGTAGAGGTGTATCTGTTAAAATTACCAAATGACATCTTTAAATAAGATTATAATTCCCTGTTAATCAATTTGATAATAAGTAGAATATTGAAATAAATAATGATTTAGTTGGCATAGCTCCTACAGGTCATATAAACATGAATCCATCCCCTTGTAATAAAACATACTTGATGGAATGCTTTCCAGCTGTGTCTTGCACTTATTTTATGAAGGACTTACATGTACCACAACTTTACACAAATTTGTAATAAGGCTAAAATACTACTGAAAATAGATCAGAATCAAGGAGTCAATGTCACAAAAGAGCATAAAGCATCAGAAATCAGAATCAAGGAAGGATATTTAGGGAAATCTGACATGAGCACGTATCTTGGAACCTGTCCTGCAGTCGCTATGCAAGTCAAACTCCCATTTAGTTCAGTTGTAGTTTTTCCTGTGAGGACAGTAGGACCTAGATCTGATATTTGGAAGCAGGAAAAAATATCAACTCCATCAGCTTTCAGGGCAGTCAGAGGGAGTTGAGGGTGCTGGACAATCTTCTCAGGATTGAACCCTATATATGTCAAGCCCCATGACTGTTTATCCCAAGGGACTGAAAGGATTAGTCTAAGTCCTCTAAAGGGCTACTGTTTGGGCTCTAAGAACATATGCTTTATGTCTGGCTGATACATTTCAGGTATGCTACAAGATGTCCCTATCATTAAAAGGTAGGACACCTGGCTGCATATATTGGGAAAAGTATAGAAGACTTAAGGGCCCAATCCATCTCCCACTGATGTCTTTCTACTGAGTTCTCTGGGAGGTGGATCAGGCTCCTAAAGAAGAAAAAAGGCTTCTTTTTGCACCTCAAATTAAAGCCTCAATATACAGTGTAATACTGACAGCTTTTATTTGTTTGCAACTTGTATACTGTAGAATTGCGGGCATCTTGTAATTAGCCCATACAGTTTTTCTTGCTGTTTCTTTTTTTGACTGTTCATTCTAATATAACTGATTTATCCATATAGATCACATGATTCAACTGTAGGCAAAATAAATGTTAAATAAACGAAAATGTTACAGATATTAAAAAGCATTCCAAAATAATACAATAACATTTTTGTGCACAAAAGAGCTTTCTCAAATAGGGCCTAATTCTGATGTCACTTACACCAGTTTTACGTTGATATATTTCCATTGATTTTAATGGAGTTACTCCTGATTTTATCTATAAATTAAAGGAGTATCAGCCCCCTCCTGTTTAAATAGGGGAGGGATAGCTCAGTGGTTTGAGCATTGGCCTGCTAAACCGAGGGTTGTGAGTTCAATCCTTGAGCGGGCCACTTAGGGATCTGGGGCAAAATCAGTACTTGGGCCTGCTAGTGAAGGCAGGGGGCTGGACTCAATGATCTTTCAAGGTCCCTTCCAGTTCTAGGAGATGGGATATCTCCAATAAAAAAAAAAAATTAAAAGAAGCTAATTTTGGGTGAGATTCTGAGGTTCTGCATTACACAGTAGCACAAATACAGGCAGTAGCCATTTTGTTCCTAGAATACAAGCCCCTGGGACCACAAATCTTAATATTATCATTTTAAAAGAGCAGGCTTATAGGTACTATAAGATATATAGGGTGATAGCTGCTCAGAAACTCTTGCAATTACATGTTTTAGGACAGTTTGACACTGACATCTGAGATAAAGAATGGCAACAGAAGTTTCAGATTTTAAGGATTTAATGATTTGTTAATTGTCTGTGTTATTTTTATTCAAGCAATGTGCAGCTGTTCTTAAAAACACTATTTCCAAAAATATAAATAACAGAAAATGTCTCAATGTGCAAAACCTAAAACTTATTTCAGTCCCTAAAAGTTTTGACAATTACAATTTTATTCCAAATGTTACGATGTAATAATTTTATGTGTGCATCTCATATTATTTTATTTGTAATTTATGTATAATAAATTAGTCCTGTTTGCTGAAAATGTTTATATCGGGCCCAGTTAATCTCTGCTGTAACTCCTTGGTGGAGTTAATAGAGTCACACGGGGTAAATTTGGTCACTGTTTTTAAGTTAATGTGAAACTTAATTCACCTATTAGAAAAATAGGGTAACACTATTGGTGATCTTGTAGCATTCTGGTCCATTTTTACAGATAACAAGATTGTCTCCCATTTGCTGGTTGCTGAACCAGAGAAGATCTATGCCATGCCTGACCCCACTGTTCCAGATAGTGACATCAAAGCGCTCACCACACTTTGTGACCTGGCAGACAGAGAATTGGTGGTCATCATTGGATGGGCTAAACATATTCCAGGTACATAATATATATATATATAGTTAGTAAAACAATGACCGCCTGAAAATCAGCACACAGATTATTTCATTACGGTGACAAAATTTATAAAGTTTTATGTTTAAGACTGCAGAATCATTACAGGAATGTTAATTACAATATATCCTGGTCTGGATATAGTATCATTCTTACTATTAAATGGTACTAGTGGAGGTAAAAGTGAATTAATGTTTTAACGTGGTTTTTATTAAAGAGGACCAGATCTCAGGTGCAGTTGAACTGCACAGGGCATTAGTGAGAGATGTGTGTTGAAAGACATCTTAAAGCATGCTCTTTAAAACTCTATACAAGGCTAGTTCCTCTGCACCAGATTAGAGCAATCTGAAGGCTGCACTGTAAACACCCCAAAGTGGTAAAAAATGCAACTAAAGTTCAGTGTGAAATAGGGGAATCCTGGCCACTATCCCTCTCCCCTGCTATGCCAGCAGGAGTTGGGGAAGTGGCATAAGAACACCTACATTAGCAGGCAGATCACCTTATACTGGGGTTACAGTCCTTGGGAGAGTTAAACTGGTTTTAGGGCCAGATTATGCCAGCAGTAGGGCACAAGGCAATCAAACCGTATCTAAATATTTCCTTGGTCAGTGCAAGATGGACCAATGTCCACATCACACAATGACATACCATAATTAGAGCTAATTAGCAATCTCAGCAGAGACAGTGGTTAGCAGAAATAATCTCTCAGAGCAAAGATTTGTGGATCTTCCAGGTCAGGTCTGAAGCATGTTTTCAATGCAGTGTTTGAGACACTCGTACCTGTTGTCCGGCTGTGCCAGGTCCAGGTAAAAGCAGGCTTCTCTAGTCCGGCATGTGCCTATGTAACCTCCCCTTTCTTCCGGTCACCTGGGGCAATGGGTCAGTATACCCATGCTGACCTGCTCTGCGGCTGCTGCAAACTCACTCTGTGCCTCTCTATTCCTTAAAGACGTATGCACCTTCTTCTAGCAAGCCGGACAAAGCCCTCTCTTCCACCCCTGCTTAGCCTGTAGTGCGGTCATTCTATGGGTTAATAAACACATACACTCTCCAGGGCTGTCAGTCTCTCACCTTTCACAAACATATGAAAAAAAGTGTTAGCTTTTTATTTGTTATTTATTTTATTATATTCGTCTTGGTATTCTAGCAGAGATATTTGTGCATTTCAGTCAGCTAATTGTCACATTGGAGCCTCAGAATACCAACCATTCACAATGAGGACGGATGTACTTTAATTGCTATAACCAATGTAGCAATGTCCTTTTAGATTTCATTTTACCCCATGGAATTTTCTGATTCACCTTAATGTAAATGCGTAATCCAGGCAACTTTCTGTTTATCAAATTTAAAAAATAATGTATATTTCTAATACCATCAGAAATTGCACCTTTATTATAATATTAATAGACTGTATAGACTACATATATACATACAGCAAGCCAGAATACTGGATTTTATTTATGCATGGAACAGCAGACAGTAAACA